CTCCACACAGTGGTAACCTTGTAGCTGCTCAACAACACTTTTTAAACTTCTGATTTGCAGAGGGCACATAAACAAGTTACTGTTTACATTTTCGACACTTTTAAAATGCAACTCCCAAAGAAACAGAATCCCCAGCTGCTACACTTTTATTTGTTTTCAAGCCTTCTTGATACATATGCAAAAATAAAGCAATCATGTAGCACTTACTTACATACATATATATAGATTACATAAACGTCACACAAACACAGGAGCCAACGTTTCGAGACCGCACAGGGTCTCTTCATCAGGGCATAAGATGTGACCAAATATATATTGTATATAGAAAACACACGGGGGAATTCATGAATGTGTTTGCAACAAAAACATTTTGTGACATTTCGCATAGTTTCTTAACTGCACAGTATTTGCATCCAACATTTGTGACCTTACAAAACCTCCAAACTGTCATCCAGGAGGTTCCGGGCAAGCTTGCAACAGTTTAGAGACTGGGACAATTTTTATGAAGGCTTTTAAGGATTAAACTTAATCTAGGATAATACATCTGTCACTATATGTGCTAGAAATCAGGGATGTGATAGTTTAAAAGATGCTGATGATGCAACAACATTGATAGATTCCATGAAAAACTTCCTTCTCATAAGCAATAAATCTTCCGCTGCAAGTAATCTTCAGATCAATACAATTCTAAGTGACTGCATCAGCCTTCCCCTATAAACTGAAAAACTAATACTCACCAAATTGTTTTACCTTTCTATTATGGACTTTGATGGTGGCAGTGTAAAAAATTAAATGTGTACTGTATGTATTTAAGTTCTACATTATAGCTTTATTTATGTAAACAGGTTACCCACCTTTTGTGTGGAAAACCTCTTTAAAGCAACCCTTTCTACTGAAATCCATAAACATGAGTGAATAATGGGGAGCTTTGATGGGCAAATACTGACTTCCTAAAACCCGACTGCCACCTCCCAACATCTGTTCTTTACTATTGGTTGTTGACCCTGCCCTCAAAGCTTAAAAGTGGAACTAGACCCACCAATTTAAGTGTTTTCCAAAACAGTTACTTTCAAGGCATGCCTTCTGTCAAGGTTGTTCATGTACTTATTTCAGCTCTCAGCTGAACTTTCAAACCCCCAAATGGCTGGTGTCATCAATGATCACATGTGCAGCACCATGACAACTGCAATCCAAATAGAGGCTAAGATGGTACTATTCTTGGATGTAAAGTGTAGAAAGGCATAGTTCTGTTTTAAGAGCCAATATTAGGAATTGGGGAAGCAGGAGACATGATCCAGTCCCTCAATTTTGGGAGCCACATTGACATTTGTATGTCGGCATACCTGGGTTTAAATGTTTTTGAGTGCTGAAGAATATATTTTAAGATATGTGCAGGCAACAGAGAGTGTCTGCTATTCAATGATGTTTAAACTTTGGGTTCTATTTATAGAAAACAAAATTTGAGCTGCTCATTCCAGCGAAACTGCATGTACATCCGTTCTGTGTGAATAAACCAGACTGTTGAGAGAACAGGACAAAACTAACTGGGTTATTCACAAAGGGTGAAAAGTTTGGCGAAAGCAGGAGAAGTGAACAATCTAGGACAAAATAGCTGATTTGGAAAAATTCCCCAATTTAGCTCACTTTCCAGTTCAGCTATGTTGTCCTAGATTGTTCACTTCTCCTGTCTTCTCCAAACTCTTCAACCTTTAGTGAATAACCCTGTGAATGTTTTTGGGGTATTTTCTCTTTTGAGCTTCTTTATTTCTCACTGAAAGTTATTGGATTATGTCCGTTTCAGTGTTGACATTAATAGCAAGCTGTTGTTCTTCTGTCACAGTTGTTATAGCCTATGTCAATCAAGCAGAGCAGCAGCTGCAAGACTTAATGCAATGTGTTCAAATCTTGTCAGCCTCATTATGCAGAACTCCAGGAAAAAAATATTTTATTTTTAAACCTGCTGGGTTAAAAATAGTTAAATCTCTGAAGTTTATGCCACCTCCTGGATCGGTGTCTGTTCTTTACAATTTACAACCTCGCTAATGCTGGGAAGTGCATCGACAGCAGACATACAGCTCTCATTCACAGCAGCAGTTCTGTCCGCCCCTCCTCTCCATTGTCCATTCACAGAACACTTTGGGGTGTTTTTTTAAAACGTTCGCAGAGTCGTTCATTCTGCAAAAATCTGACGTTGACATTCACAGCGCATTACGGCCACTAGATGGAACCGAGAAGCATAGGTTCTATGAAAATAAAGTTTAGATGTGTGTTTCTAGTCATTTTGACTGTTACTGGTCTACAGGGGGTGATATCTGCCCCAGCATGTAATATCAGTTATGTCAGGTAGCTTCCTGCCTTGAGCAGCGTCTTTGTTTGCATGGGTTACTGCCCTTTTTTGAATATATACAGTAGCTTTGTCTTTCACCCTGTTTGTTGAGTGAACCTATATGTCATATTACACTTCATACATGTCCGTAGGACTGCAGCTACCCTAGGTAAATATCACAAGATATGGCACTTTCATACATGAGGTACAGTGTGTTAAGATGACTCAATGCAATGATACATTCTACACAGTTTCCAGTATTCCCAGAAAAATGAGGCGAGTGATTGTCTAAAAAGAAGAAATGCCAGTGCACTTTGTGTGCCGCTTGACACGTCATCTTCTGTGCTGCCCCCTGCCTGTCAGGACATTTCACAAGAAATAGGGAGGCACAGGATAATTTGCAAACTAGGGGTTTGTCCTGCAGGAATTTGGACACTTGGGAACTAGGGTACAATTACATGACTGTCTCCATGCTATCTTGCTTTTTTCCATCTGTAATAATTTTTTTGTCTGAATCACTAATTGTCTTCACATACACCTGACAGTTGCTTTACATCGCCTGTAATGTACTGTGGCCCCTTTATCTTCATTAAAAATATTTAAATACTATTTACATAGATCATTTGTGACATTTTGCATCCTCCATCGCAAGACTAAGGTCTTGCGATGGTTGTAGAGTGTATGGCCACCTTTATAGTGTTAGACTGACCTGCTCTGTACACTGCTTCTGTTCCACATGATGTCAGATGTAAAGAGATAACAGGACCCAGGATTAGGTGGTTCTGCTGGGAAATATGCAGCTATTGCTGAATCATAGCCTTTTAGTTTTTATTTAGGTAGAGAGCATCTTTTATGTAGTACAGCTTTTAGACTTTTTCTGAAGCATACCTATTAATGAGCTTATTATTAATAACACTTATTATATAAAGTGCAATGACAGTAAAAACTCATACAAAGTCAGTGTAGTAATTCATTGCAAAGTTCAGTAGCCCACAGCAGCTAATCAGATTGTGCAAGTGGAATAGTGGGTTAGTCACTATAGTTTGTGTATAACAGCAAATCATTGCACTTTGTACTTAAAAGTAAAACTAATTTAAAAGAGAACTATGGGGTAAGTGTTGTTCCCCATAGTTCTCTTAAGGGTCACGGGAGGTCATATACTAGCGTCCTCCGTGACCCAAAGCTCAGTATACCGCAAGCTACAGCTCGCGGTATACTGAGACCGCCGCAGCCGGGATGGATCCCAACATTATTGTCGTGATCCACCCAGCTGCGTGAGTGACCTATCTAGAGGCAGAGCCAGCTATACCTGCCCCCTTCCCATCCGTTCCTCCAGTTAGCGCTGGAGGATAGAAACAAAGAAGGGGGGGATCCCTGCAGGGAGATGATCGAGAAGTGAGTGAGCGACAGTATGTGTTCGCTCACTTCCCGATCTATTGAGCCGACGTGTGACAGTTTTATTGTCACACGTTGGCTCAAACTATGAAGATGAGTGATTTTCACTCACCTTATAGTTCTCCTTTAAAGCAAACCAGAAGTAAAAAATACTTAACGGAGCTGCTGGTGGTACCACTCTAATCTTAATTACCTCTGGTAGACACGTATTGAGCTTTTTGGGTTGAGAGCCTAATCCCCTCCCATCTCTTCAGCCTTGGTATTGGTTAGTGCGGACACCATTCCTACTGATGGGCCAACAGAAGAATTGGGAGGTGGGAAATACTGTAGACCCATTGAGCTGAGTTTGAAATTTGTTTATAGGGAGTGTCATTACACATATGGAGGGGAATTCATCAAAACTGGAGCAGACAGACTCTGGAGCAGTTGCCCATGACAACCAATCAGCTTCTCTCTTCAGTTTGTTCTGTTAAAATTTTAAAATGAAAGAGGAAAGCTGACTGGTTGTCATGCATAGCTGCTCCAGATTTGGTCTGCCGAGTTTTGATAAATTCCCCCATAGTATGTATCCTAAGCTTATTTGAAAACGCCATCTTCCCCTATATCAGACTCTGATTCCTGCCTTGCTTTTCAGCATTATATTGGGGGAGAGCATGAAACACTATGCTTAGTGGAAACAAGTACTCATAATAACCCATTAAAAACTTGCAAGTTGTAAGCTGAAGGGGAGAATTAAGGTAAAAGTCATACAACATATCAGCCACCCAAATTCAAACAAGTGGGCAGAAGGGCTCCAACAGCAATCTAAGACCAAATGTCCATCTAAGCTGCTCACACCACTGCAGACTATTCTCAATTCCATACTTTTTTCAGAAATATGGTCTTCTGATGTGCCACATCCAAGGCACACATTTATTTCAAAATGTGTGAAATGGTATTCTCAAGAGGGTAAAGTAAAAGTTTACCCAAAACATTATTTTTTGGTGGGTAGGGTGGGAAAAGTTAAACCATCTGGTGAAGTGTTATTACTGTTTGGACTCCCTGTTCCAGTCACAAGAATAAGTAGTGAATGCAAAGGAACATAATCAACAATAAAAAACGCTTCTCCGCTGTACCTAAAATATGGTGCTTGGTAGACTTCTACTGTAATATGTTTGTTATATAAGAGAGGTTTAAAATTCTTTAAAGGATAGAGAGTGTTGTCACCAGTAATGTACTAGTAAAGTAACCAGAGCTTGAGTAATTTGTAATGCTCTTATGTGTACTTTCTCACTCACAGGTCACTCTCCCTGCCCAAGACCATCTTCCAAGATGAAACCAATTGAAGAAGGTGTGGAGGATGATGTCTTTGAACCAGCATATTCACTTCCATCTGACATCCAGAGGTTGCCATAAGCAAATAAATGACCAAACTACTGTGGATGGAAATGTCGCTTGGAGGAAAACATAACCTCAGAAAGCTCAAGAGAAAACAGTTTGATGATAAACAATAAATATATATAGATATCTATATAGATATATTTATATTATATATATATATTGTTTGTTAATTGCACAGAAGTTAGAAGTGTGCTAAACCGACAAGCACACTTTTTTATTTTTCAAATTTTCTTTTGTATTTCATGCTAAAATAATGAGGGAGGATCTCATGCATCTAAGTGGAGCACCCTCAGTTACTATTATTGCAAAGGGTTTGGAAATGCAATCAGGCCTTTTTTTACTTACAAAAGATAAGTTTATCTGATCTTCACAGCACAATTCAGACACATGTATGCAGCTATTTTCCTACACCAAAGTACTCTATGTATTTCATGGGTGCCCATGAATGTAATGTATAAATGTAAGGTGTGTGTATAGGGAGGATATGTTTGGAAGGTTTTCTTTAACCGAAATACTGATCCAATATTACAAACTAAATCTGTGCAAGATTAAGGATTTCCTTTAAAATATAATATGCTGGAATACTCAATGAAAGGAGTTTAGAAAATAGAGATCTCTAGATTAGCCACTATAGAAATCTCCATGGGGTACATTGCAATTACTCTGTCTCTAGTATTTGTTGAGATAACATATCATCCACATAGGAAGTGCATTGTTTTCAATAGGCCAGCTCACTCAAAGCAAAACCATTGTGTAGCACTACAAAGCAGGAAGCAGAGCCTTGATATGTAGCAAATATGGTTGCCACTGTACTTATAATCTTATTTACATCAACATATTTTACCAGTTTATTTAAAAAAAATAAAAAAGTATACATTTCCATTTAATAGGAAAAAGTAATTACTGATGTCACATGTAAAATCAAGTATGCAGCTTTTAACTGGCTTATCTATTGGTATTGTGTATATATTTGCAGACCTATTGGGGCTTTGGTAGTTTTTAAAATAAAAGCACATTCCTTGCGTTGAAAATTAAGTGGGATGAATCGATTAAGAAGGGTAAGGAACAGATCATCCACTTTACTAATCATACAGAAATGGTATATGACACTGTTTACTGTTTGTTTCCTCCCATAATACAAAGCACATTTATATAATTTGTCACTAGTGTTTAAATGTCACATAGGGCATATATAAAAATAAGCACATATATTTATATAAGCAGAAAGAATTTACAGAAATGCTTAAGATGAGGCCATAAATATATCACATGCAGATAATAAATGCTTTTCTTTACATACATTATAGTTGCGCAAGAATGCTTGAGATTTTTTTTTGTATTGGTAATATGCATGCCGCTTCAACATTAATCGAACATTTACAGTAAAAAACATTACTGCAAATAAGTACTAAAGCTGAACTCTGCATTATACAGTTCCCCAGCTATAAAAATTCCAAAAATCCAGTTATGTATTTAAAAAAAAAAGTATTTTGTTTATAAAATTGGTAGACGTACTTTGCTTTACTCTCACCTTCCGGTTATTCAGTGTACACAATGACTGATGTCTAAAGTGTTGCAGGAAATATGCTACAATAAGTAGAAAAAGTGATTAGTGAATGTACTGCTGATCATTGTGCAGTCAGAAGGCTGGGTGTGCTTTGGATTACGCTGTGCTGTTTGGTAGGGGTGCCTTGATAATAGGACTAAATCGAAGAGAAGTCACCAGCTGGTACTTATTCACCATGCATCACCTGAAATACATAATCTCAATGTTTTTGGGCAGGGTCCCTTCCTCAGGGCAACATAATAGTTACTATGTTACCCTGAGAAAGGGACCCAAAACATTGGGATTATATATTTCATGTAACACATTGTGAATAAATCCATGTTGGGTTTTTCACACATATGAGGTGCTGGTGAGTTCACTTAGATTTATGGTTTCTCTGCATGGCACAATCCATTGCTGCCACTACAATCACCACTTCATCGATTTCTGGTCATAAGGATTGTGAGGACTGCAGCTAATCGGTGGATCATAGGACTAGCTTGGCAAGTAAACCAGTTCACACTGTACATTTAGATTCTTGCAAGGAGTCCAGCTTTAAAGGACATTTCCCTCTTTGCAACCTACACTATTTGTCCAATAGTATGTGGACACACTCTAATTTATTGAGTTTAGCTGGGTTCATAAAGATATGGTTTGGTGGATTTGGTCTGAAGGAACTCTAGTGGCCTGACCTCAACCCTACTGAACAACTATGGGATGAATTATAACACTGCTTGCAATCCAGGTGTTCTTGTCCAATATCCTTTCACATATTTCTTGTCCAATATTCTTTCAAATCTTTTGACTGAATGAGCACAAATCCTGCATATACTTCAGAGTCTTGCAGAAAGCATTCTCAGTAGAGTTGAGGCTGTTATATCCACACTTATGGGGCTAACTGCTTATTAATGCCCATAGTTTTGAAATGGCATGTCCAACAATCTCATGTAGATGTGATGCCCAGATGTTCACACATTTTTGATGATACAGTGTATTTCTATAAAACATTTAAAGGGTCTTCTTTAAATAAAACTTATGCTACACTTATACTGTAGCTACTGTAGTTATTGCCATTTTAGATATAACTTAGAGTGACCATACACATACATTCTGAACACTGATCATATGCAATGGGCAAATTGTAACCTTTGTACAGCATATTTTCTTATTATTGTTTTTGTGTCTAATATATACATTTTATGTCCTATTCAGAGGAAAACTGTCATGTTAACATCTTTGTGAAATGTTATTTGCCTGTCTGCTATGCCAACACTGACTTTGTTAATATACTTACCTTAAACAAGTATGCATTTAGTAACTCCTGATTTGCATAAGTGTTCCAGCTCAGTCATTTAGAAAATATTGAAAGGTCAACATGACCGCCAGTAAGTTACCATTTTTTAAACCTATCATGACAGGTTTAATATAAGTGCATCCTGAACCAGGTGATATTATATGCATATATCATTTTGGAAGCCGTTTCAAAACACAAAATAAATACATTTGTGTGTTTAGATGGTGCTTTTGCAGTTGTTCATACTACAAGTTAATTAAGTGGAGTAGTTCCAGTCAGGTGTGGAGATTGATTTGTTAAACTCTTTCATAATCTTTGCTCTGGCATAAATCCATGGGTTTGATAAGCCAAGAGTTAATGTCATGTGGGATAGCAGTTAAATGTGATAAACTGATATACAGTTGTATACAAGTACTGGCAATTGTCCACGCTGGCAGTTAAACCTTGACTATTTATAGGAAGTAGTGAAGGCATATCTCCAAGACAGCTGACACCGCTGTATTCATAAACTTTGTGTAAATTAGCAATTCTCATTCAGGAACTAAAGACACATTTCATAGAATGTGCATCTTCCAGTCCTGCTCCACTGGGACGTATCCATGATATTGTAAGGCAGTGAAAGTAGGTACGCTGCCTTACATTGGTACTTCGTGAATTTGTAACCTCTGCCAAGTGTATCCCCAGGACATATTTTATATGCTATACTACAGGGAAATCAGAAGCACCTAGATTCACCTTGTACAGGAACAGTGGGAACATTGCTCTGTAAATTTTTTCTTTTTATCAAGAGGATAAGGTAGACTCATGCCCTTAAAAGAATCCTTTTAAATACCACGACATTAATAATACAGAACCAAGGTCTAAAGTTAAGCTTACGCATATAAAATACATATTCCCATTTTTTTCTGGCAGTTTGAACTGGTGAAAATATGAATTTGATATTAAACTCATCTGTAAACCCAGGAGTGTCAGACAGCAATGGAGAGCACCAGCTGCCAGGAGAGTGAGGAATAAGGTAAGTATATAATCTTAAAATGTAAGCACATAAGTGGTCTATCAAACTACTCCAGTAAAAGAAACACTTGTATAACTAGTAGGGCTGGTAATGATTAACATTTTCACGTTCGATTAATCCAAATGTTTTTTAATCAATTACATTTGATTAATTATAACGCACATACAGATCCAACTACATTGGCCTATACACATACAGCACAGCAATGAAGTAATAAAATGAACTAGGATCACACTAATCCAGCACGTTATTAATTTCACGTGTCCCACCCAATATGGCCGCCGCTTGAGTGGGGCTACTCAGAATAATAACGTGCTGGATTACAAATGTATTTACATAGTATAGTAAAACAGCAAAGCCCTAAGGGTGATTTAAACATAAGTATTAGCTTAATATTTGAAGTAGCAGCACCTGTCCATTCCATTTCATGCAAGGACCTGATTGCAACATATCAGTAAATTTCAATGGGCACATTTCTGGGAGCGAGATGGGGGGGGGTTATTGGAGAGCCACATAGTGCATATATATAAGTTTAAGATAAGACAGAAGCTTGGTGCTTCATGGGCAAACTCACCGGCCCAAGTGGCTCCGTCTGCTAACAAAGGGAAGGAGGGAGGAGTCCGGTGACGTCACGGACATCAACGTCACCGGACTCCTCGCCCTTCCCTTCATTAGCCCACGGAGCCACTTGGGGAAGGGGGGAGGAGTCCGGTGACGTCGATGACCGTGACGTCACCGGATCTCCGACGGGACTCCCGGAAGCCGGCGGAGAGGTGAGTCTTTTCATTTTCGATCAAAAGAATTTTAAAATCGATCAAAAAGTTTTTAATTTCCCCAGCCCTAATAACTAGAATGGGGATGACTTTACCTTATGTAAAATAAAGATACTGATCCTAGAGCTTATTTTTTAACTGAAGATATCATCACACACAACATGTACATTTACTGCATTATACATGTTTGTGGTATTTTAGACAATTCACTAAATACAGTACAGTTTTTGCTTTAAAGGGCACAGCAACATAGTTACATAGTAGGCAAGGTTGAATAAAGACACAAGTCCATTGAGTTCAACCTATGTGGTTGTGTGTGTGTCTGTATGTCTTGTTCTCTGAGAAAATTATCTAGACGGGTCTTGAATGATTCCATACTCTCAGCTGAAACCACTGTCTGTCTCATAGTAAAGAATCCCCATTAAAGCAAACATGTTTGCTTTAATTGACCTGTGCCCA